AGAGAGAGAGAGAGAGAGAGAGAGAGAGAGAGAGAGAGAGAGAGAGAGAGAGAGAGAGAGAGAGAGAGGCTAATGAGACAGGAAGAAGTTGGGAGGAGAAGAGAAGAAGAAGAACGTAGGTCTTTGCAAGACGGCTCGGCATTAACTCATTCATTAAGCGAATAACTTGCTTGACGGGGCAATGTCTCCATCATTGAGGAGTCCACGAGTGAAATTACGCCATGCACGTACGCGCGGCCTGACGATGATGATGTGGGTGGTTGTGATTGTGGCGGTGGCGGTGGCGGCATGCATGCCACTCACATTACTCGCGGCTCCCGCGGGGCCAGGAGGACCATCCACCTCCCTTTTCGTTGGACCGGGAGGCTATTCCTCCGTGCAGGCGGCGCTCGATGCCGCTCCCGCCGGTTCTCGAATCGTGGTTATGGCGGGAACTTACCGCGAAAAAGTTGTCGTTGCCAAACCGGCAATCACGTTGATCGCCGATCCCGCCGGTTTTGCCGCTATAATTTTCAACGACGCGGCGAAATCCGCCGGCGGTACCGTCCAGTCCGCCACTTTCACGGTTTCTGCCGCCGCCAATGGTTTCACCGCAATCGGGTTAACCTTTGCGAACGACTTCGGGCCCAATGAGAAGGGCACTAGCGACCAGCAAGGGGTGGCGGTGGCCGTGTCGGCGGACTCATCCTTCTACAACTGCACCATTACTGGGTGGCAGGACACTCTCTACGCCGACCAAGGGCGCCAGTATTACAAAACGTGTTTGATTCAAGGGTCAGTGGATTTCGCATTTGGCGAAGCTACCGCCTTTTTTGAGGACTGCACGTTGTTCGCGCGAATGCGGCCCGACTCGAAATATAATTCGTACACGGCGCAGAAAAGGGAATCGCCGACCGAGGCGGGCGGGTTTGTCTTTTACCGGGGAATGCTGGATTGCGATCCCGTCGTGAAAGCTTACCTAGGACGAGGGTGGGGGCCCTACGCGCGAACCATCTTCATTCTCACGTACATGAAGGACTGTGTCAATCCCGAAGGTTGGGGCGTTTTCAAAAAGTATAAGTACACGGACACCACCTTCTTCGCGGAATACCATTGTTCTGGCCCCGGCTCGAATCGCGCAGGAAGGGTTCCTTGGTCGCGGAATCTCACCGACGCAGAGGTCTTCTACTTCTCCAACAGGACTTCATTCCTTCAAACGTAACTATGCGGCAGGAGTTCGTTCCTTCAAACGTACCTATGCGGCAGGAGTTCATTCCTTCAAAGGTAACTATGGCAGCCTTCTCTTGGTCGATCTGGCGGTTGATTGGTCGGTCGGGCGTTTGTTCGCCCATTTCTGTTCGTTCCTAGGATTAGGATGAGTGCCTTCAGTTATTTAGGCGGCGGTAGACGTAAGGAGCTTCGATAAGATCGTCAGTGCGGCTGTTGGCGGGCTGTTTTTTGTGACACCGTGAAAAGGAGTTAGATTTTCTCCTACTGAGACTACTACCTAGGATTTCTCGGACTGGGGTATAATACTCGAGTGTTCGTTTTGTTTTTCGATGCGAATAATTGGTAATTGGGCTGCCATGTGTTTTCGAGTCAGAAGAGCTTTTTGAAACTTGTCCGTTCTTTTTTCTTTTGGCTACCACGTCTGTGTGAATTTGTACGTGCACATACGCGCGCGCGCGCGGGTGTCTGTGTGTGTGTGTGTGTGTTTCGTTATGTCTGCTATACGGCACTCCACAATAAAAGGATGACTGTGCCAAGCTGGTTTTTTTTTTTTTTTTTTTTGTGTGTGTGCTTGTCTGTGGGTGTGTGTGCGCGTGCTAAGGGTCATGGAGAATTGTTGTTTTTCGTTCTTGACATGGAGAACGGTCATGGAGAATCATTATGGTGGTTTTCCGTTATTGGCATGGAGAATGGATGTCTTTCAATACCTTTGTTGAGGCAGTCTCTATACTTCTTCGACACCCATCACTTTCTCTGTGGTTGTCTGGCTGCAGCTACTGCCGCTGCCGCCGCGTCGCAAGGTCCCACTTGCACAGATTGAGAGATCGGCCGTCGATTTTCGTTATCTACCGGCCATATATCTCTTCTTCCCTGCAAATGCGACCGTGCCCCTGTCGGCACCACGTGGTCTTAGGTCTGACTCCTTGGGTATGGAGAGTCGATGGCAGCGACATTTAAATTTGAAGTTTTTGAATTTTGGACTTCCCATCGGGTTGATCTTCAAAAAAAAAAAAAAAAAAAAGATATTCGGCTCCGCTTTTTTTTTCCTTTCCCCCCACCTTCTCAATTCACCCTCCACTACGTACCACTACTCCCTACGGCTAAAAAAAAAAACTACTCCCTACGGCTACACAGGGACCCCTGCAAGCATAGTTACGCTGAGATGAAGGGATTGCATGTTGGGCCCCAGCTCTGGTTTCGATCAGTGCCTTTATGTCTGTCAACTTTCTTTTATACTCCCAAGGAGGCCCGGGTTGCATTTTTGGGGGGCGGGGGATGGCGGGGTCTATTTCTCACGAGACCCCCACCCAATCACACTTCAGTCGTATTCCTGGCGCAACCCCTACTCCCTCCGATTGCCTCTTGAGGGCTTTTTTCTCCCTTTGTTTTTGGGGTGGGCTTTTGAGGAACTTTTTTTTTTCTTCTTTTTCCCTCCTTCCTACATTCTGCTCTCAATGTCACCTCACACTACCTACCTACCAGTACTTCCTAATTATAGTCATACGGGGAACCCCGTAGCAGCCAGAACCGTGTTCACAAAGAGAACATGCGGGGGCTGCTCCCCACCTGCAGGTGGGCGCTACCGGCCAGGCCATTTCAAGCTTGTGTTCTTCTTTCCTTTCTTTTTAACTTCTATCTGTACGGATCGTCCACCGTACGATCGCTTACCATTTTTAACTTCTTTTCTTTCCTTTCTTTTCCCCTCACGAGTAGGGAAAAAAAGGAAAGACTAACATACAAGCTATGGAGAAACTTGCCTTCCCTGTCTTTCTGTACCTTCTCTCTCTCTCTCTCTCTCTCTCTCTCTCTCTCTCTCTCTCTCTCTCACACACACACACACACACACACACACACACACACACACATTACTCGAAAGACGTTTTAACTCTTACGCACACGAAACCTCTTTCGTTTTTTTTTGTTTTTTTTTTTTTTTTTGTCCAAGGGGGTAACCCCCCTAACATACAATGATTATAGTTACCTGTTTTTATCAATAATTACATGTGTGTATTGTTGAGCCACCTGGGATGGATTGACATACATGTCTCCTCTGTGTCGGCATCTTTATGTCCGATTTGAGAATTGAAAATAGGGTCTTTTGTGAAGGAAAAGGAAAGGTATGGTGGACAAAGTTCTCCAGCCAATCTCCGCCTGCACTCCGTCCCCATCATGCCCTTGAGTCCTATGCTTTTATCCACAAGCTCTCTCTCTCTCTCTCTCTCTCTCTCTCTCTCTCACACACACACACACACACAC